TCTGCCCTCCCTAAAGTTGCGGTCTCCCCTGGGGCCCGACAGTCTTATGATCCAGCGGATTCTCCCGGGGAGGCAGAGCTGGGGAGAGGGCGCGGGCGCCGAGCGGCGGGGGCAGCAGGCGGACGCGGCGACCGGGGCCCGGGCAGGGATCCGCGCAACAACCAAGGCGGCGGCAGCGCACAGAGCCCGCCGCCCCCTCCCCTCGAGCCGGGGGAGCCGCTGCATGGGGCCGGGGGGGCGGTCCTGCTGCGTGGAGCCGCGGCGGCGGCGGACCCCCCAGGCGGGCTGGGGCTGAGCCCGGGGCCGGGGCGGGGGCTCCGGGGGGACCATGCCCGGAGGCCGGCCGGCTGCAGCATGGCTCACGGGCCCGGCGCGCTGATGCTCAAGTGTGTGGTGGTCGGCGACGGGGCGGTGGGCAAGACGTGCCTACTTATGAGCTATGCCAACGACGCCTTCCCGGAGGAGTACGTGCCCACCGTCTTCGACCACTACGCAGGTAAGGCTCGGAACTGCTGACTAAGGGGCTGTTCCGCGGGCCGGGAACTTTGGAGCAACTTTGGTGGAGCCCCCTTGCTGCCTCTCACCCCTCTCCCGCCGCGCCCTCTGCCTGGCGCCCGGCCCCACCCCTAGGCTTTGCCTCTAAGCCATCCCCTTCGCGGGCAACTCGGACCCGTCTTCGTATCCCCTACCCCCACCCCCGCGCCCAGTGCCAACTACCCGCACTTCCCAACCCCTTTGGGTCCTGGGCCGACCTCCTTGACCTTCCCATCCCACAACCGCCTCCTCTACTGCCCCAAACACCTGGGGGAGGGGGGGGGACTGGGCGAGAGAGACGTGGCTAAGGGACTTGGGAGAAGGGAGTGAGCAGCTAGGGGCCACATTGCACCCCGACCTCAAGCCACTTCACAGTGAGCCGGGCACAAGGGAAAAGGGATGACTCTCCCTTCGAGCACCCTCTTGCCTCCAGCTGGGTTGGGAAAGGAGGGTCCTGGTGGGGAGCGAAATTGCCCCAGAGTAATTGTGAGCTTTTCTCCCTGCCCCCGCTTCTGCCCTTGCAGTCAGCGTCACCGTAGGGGGCAAGCAGTACCTCCTGGGACTCTATGACACAGCTGGACAGGTGAGTGTCTTGGCCCTTGGCCTACACCCCTTTTCCTTTCTCGATTCAGGGTGGCTGCGAAGGGCCTTTGGGAACTGAGATGTCTAGGAGGGAGGGTGTGTCTGCGAGGGGCCCCTCTGGGTCAAGTCTTTATTGCTTTTTTCAAGTCAGCAAATTAGGAAAAGGAAAAATATCCAACAACCCCTGACCAGCCCACCTCATATGAACCCCTGGGCTGTGAAAGTTTTTGCCTGTGTGTGCCTTCTGTATGGTGCTTGGTGTGTGGGTCCCAACTCCTGTTGCAAAGTGGCAGCGACCAATCGTGAAGCGCCCTTATTTTTAGTTGCGGATGACCAGGTCTCCCCCTCACAGCCTCGTCTGGTCCCTCATTGGTGAGTGGTCCGCCTGCCAGAGGAGCCTGATTGGTGGAAAATGGCATCATCTAATATGATGGGAAGGCATTTGGTCCTGGTTATGTTTATTACAACATCACTGCACTCCGGGACTCGAGTCCCTGAAAACGTAATTTGTGTTACCAGGGGACCACAGGGAAAAAAGAAAAGAAACAACAAAGATCTAGCCACTCTCTGGGGCAGGGAGGGGCAGGAAGGGTTAGGAGTTCAGTGTGAATCTTTGGAAGAAGAGCTTTATTTTTTATTTTTCCCTGGATAGGCCAGGTCACTTTTGTCTGGGTTTTTTTCTGGGAGAGATTATTGTGCAGAAAGAAAATGGCATACTCCTCCAGGCAGCCTGTGACCATTATTTGCAAATTAGAGGTGGCTCCTAAAGGATTAAGGTCTCCTCTCTCTGTCTCTCTGTCTCTCTCTGTCTCTCTCTCTCTCTGTTTCTCTCCCCCGCGCCCCCCCCCCAGCTTCACCCTCTTCCCAGACCCACTTCTGCAGTGATTTGCAGTGAGGCTAAGATGATTGTGTGTGATGAAGTTTTGCAGAATCCAGCCCTGTGATTAGACCTGAAGTTTCCACATGTCATGCAGGCTTGAGTCCTTGAGGACATGTGAGGAGCTGAGGGGCTTAGAGAGTGTCTTTGGGGAATGTCCAGTAGTAGTTCCCTTATCTGTAAAATGAGGTTTAAAAGATTCAGACCATTCCTCTGTGCAGACATTAGATGCCAGATGCTTAGCACTGAGACTAGCGCATACTAGATAGGTGCTCAATAAAGGGGAGCTGTCCTTTGTGGCTTTTCTAGTTTTGGATTTCAGAATTGTGGTACCAGGTTAGATTCCGAAAAATGTCTTATGGGGTAGGGGTGAGCCTTGATGTGGACTCTGGTTTCTGAACTGTTAAGTTACAGGAGCGTCTGAAGATAAACTGTTGGCAGTGGGAGGTACCTGAGGCTGTCTCCTTTCACCAAACTGATTCAAGTCAGTAGAGCCAAGTCTTCAGGGCCCCATTTGGTTGTCTGTCTTGTAGTTGTTATTCTTTCTATCAGAATGTATGGAGGGGCAACAGGCAGAACTTATTCAATCAAATAAGACCAAAGTTTAAGCAGTACAGTTGATAAACAACAGGTTGAAATTATTGGTTGAAAGGAGAGAGGTTTTAAAAAATTGTCTCTAATTTTCATTTCTGTCACTCTCCCTCTTTCCTTTCCTCCTTTACTTGTCACCATGACCATTTTTGGACCATGAGCCCTATTCAGCAGGACATGTATATGTCAGAGCTATTCTATGCACATTCAAACCAAACTAATATTTGCTGAGTTCCTTCTGCATATCAGGCATCGGGCAAATGTTATTTTCTCCACAAAACAACCCTATGAGATAGGTGATCTTCCATCTTTGCAGATGAGAAAACTGGGGCTCAGAGAAGTTAGGTTGCTAACCTAAGATCACACAGCTACTGAGAGGTGTTGCTGGGATTAGGACCTCAATCTGCCCCAGTCGGGGGTGGTTATATACACAGGAAACTATGGGAGGTGCTGAGATACCACCTGGGTTGACTGGATTGCTTGTGTGTCCGTAGACATGGTACTTGGAATCTTTACAGCCATTCTCGTGAGAGGGGTTATATGCCACCCCTACAGAGTGGAGAACCCAGATCCAATGTGTCACCCAAATTTGGGCCCACACACAAAAACAGGGCTTCCCATACGTCATCATAATTTCTGATTCCCTTGCAGATTGTAAGGCATACAAGTTGGATCAACCTGTGCGTAAGGTTCAAATAGTATATTACTGTTTTTACCCAGTGATGGAACTTGTCTGTTGGCCAAGATGTACATTAGGCACCCTTGGTGTTTCTCCCAATGTCTACGACATTTTTATTTTTATTTTTTAAGATTTTTATTGGGGGAGAGGAACAGACAAGTTGCTGTCCTTTTGTTCTTCAGTCTAGTTGTGGAGGACATTGCTTCACTGGCCCAAGTTGGCACCATCATTGCACTCTTCCCGGGCGAGGCAGATCAGTCGCCGGCTTCTGGATGGCTGCTCACGCTGGCTGCTGGCTACACACAGTAGCCCATGGCAACCCACTGCAGCAGGGGCTGCAGCCTACGCTGTCGCCGGTGACTCACGGCAGCCCATCTCCAGGTTCAGCATCTTAGCTGTAGAGGGCAGTGTCACTGGCCCTCATATGTGGGATCTGAACCGGGGCCCTCTGGCTTCCCAAGCCAGCTCTTAACCAACGTGCCACTCGGCCAGCCCTAAGACTTTTGTTTTTTGGATCAAAGTTAGTGATAATTCACCTTTCAGCATTGAAGAGTTTATTATTCATAAGTAATCTTATCAAAGTAATCATCAGTGAGATTACATGACAGGTACCCACCATGCACCTAGCGCTGTGCTAAGCACCTGGGGGGTACAAAAGAGTGAATTTAAGATAGAGATTTGCCATAGCTGATGACAGCATAGGTGGAGTGTCTGGAACAGATAGATGCCTGTTCATGCGTGTTATGTAGCCAATTTCTGTGTTATATTGGTCATTAAGACTCCATACCTCTATACATCTACGAATCCATATCAGATTAACCTTACAATAACAATAATAAATACACACACACACACACACACACACACACACACAGAAAGAGAGAGAGAGAATTTGTAAGCCTAATGGGCAGCAGAGGAAAGCCTTTGGCTTTGGAACAAAACAGGCTTGGGCTCAGATCTCCTGTTTGCTCTACCAGTCCTGTGATTCTAGCTAAGTTATTTACCTTCTTTGTGACCTAGTAAAAATGTGAATAACTAGACTCTATACTGTGTAGTGTTGTAGGTCAGCTTATATTGTTTAATGTATGTAAAAGAAGCAGACACTTTTCTTCATTCATTGGTAGTATATGTGTAATAAATATTACGAGAAATTATTGTTCTCCACTCTGGGCAGTTTTGTGGGCGGAAGGGATGGCAGGTGAAAGAGGACAGTGTGTTATGCCTGGAGTTGATAGCAATTCTATTAGGATGCCAGACCCCACACTGTTCTCAGCAGAGGTGTAGCCAGCTTTGCACTTTATAATTCCCACAGTCCCCATCACGGATGGACTCAAGGACGTAGTTGAGTACACCCTGATCTAAGTGCCCTGTTGTGTCATATGGTTTCCTTTTTTTTTTTTCTTTTTAATATGGTTTCCTTTCTTAATCACAGCCTGTATCCCGCGTGATGTAAGAGGAACTCTTAGAAAAACCAAGAGTTCAGTGTAGAGTTTGAGAAACAAGTGGGGTGTGGAGGTTCCAGTTGATTCTATTGGGTTGTTGGAAAAGTCATGATGCATTTTTGCAACGAAAAACAGAGAAAAATTACGTCATGACTTTTCCGACAACCCAATACGTTGGGAGGTAAGGTGGGATGGGGAGGAAGTGCACAGCACTGAAAGCCCACAGTTGCTTTTTACAAAAAGTTTGCTTTTGCACAGGGGCACTCACTGCGTTTGAATAACAGCAACAGCGCCTCCCTCTGGTTGGAACTTCTAGTCAATGTGCTTAACTCTGACCCCAACAAAGTTCAAAGCCATAGGCAAACATTTGCCCAATTTATACTCGTATATTAGGAAAATCAAGAAATGACTGTACAGTCATACCTCATTTTATTGCACTTCACTTTATTGTATCTCACAGGTGTTGCGTTTTTTTTATAAATTGAAGGCAAGACCTTCTACCAGCTAAACGATTACAACTCGCTTTATTGCTGTGGTCTGGAACTGAACCCGCAATACCTCTGAGGTAGGCCTATAGTAAATGACCTGCCTTCCAGAGCAGGCTGCTTCCCCTGTTGACCTCTGCGGCTGCTGGGGGAGAGGGAGAGTGAGAGGGGGGAAGGAAGAGGGGACAAAGAGAGGGAGAGGGGAGAGGGAGAAATATAAATGTAAGTGTGTTGGTTAGTGTTAGCCACGTCACATGCTCTGCCTGGGGACATCCTTCAATAGCCCCAACACACTCATTAGCATTACTGCCAAAGGGAGGCCCCCTTTCCTGGCCAAGCCCCTGGGTGGTCCAGGAGCAGCTGACATTTTGACTGCCAAGCATTTTGGAGTGGAAGTTGAGGGCAGCGCCTTCCTCCTCCCTGGGGCCTTGTGCAGGGGTCTGACTTCCGGCCTAGGCCTCAGTGGAGCTTCTCCTTTCTTGCTGGGCTTTGAGGACTTGACAGAGTCTGCTGCCAGCCCCAGTGTCTGCTCGAGGAGGGACTGGAGAGGTGAGACTTTCCCTCCTGCCTCTGCACTGTTTGGAGCGCATGGGAAGTGGGAAGAACTCGCGCTATCTGTGTAGACGAGCCATGGGGAGCTGTCTGGCAAGCTGCTCTGGAGCTGCCGGCTCCAGGCTGACATCTTAATTCTTGGCAGGAAGGCGGAACTTGATACGCCGAAGAGAGAGGACTGATGCCCAGTTTATTCCAGGTCCCAGAATACCCACACACAGGAGAGTGTGTTAGGGGTGAGTTTGGGTTCCCTAGAGTTCCAGATTTAGCCAGTACCTCGGTGTGTGGAAGTCTATATGTGTGCTTTTGGGCATGCTGTTAGCTTAAACACACACAAGTTCAAGGACACATACATGAGAGCTATAAATATCCTTA